AGGGAGTGGGGAGGATGGGCGGCTCCAGTCTCCCTGGCCAAGAGCGCATGGAGGGCAGGGGCTGGGGGCAGTAACGTTCCACTCCCAGAATGCCTAGAGTAGGTGTTCTGGGGGCAGAGTGTGGACTATGCCTTCCCCCACCTCACATACCAGCCGCCCATGGTACTGCCACCCTTATTTTTGTACTGCCTTCAGAGATGGGCAGCTGCAACCACTGGTCTCCAGGTACCCAGTTCTGAAGGCAGCATCACTGCCAGCAGCGGCGCAAATTAACCTTGCACCCTCTTCCCCACACACGACTCCGTTGTGAGTCAAGACCCCTACAATTACAACATCATGAAATTTCAGCTCCAAATAGCTGAAATAATGAAATGTATGGTTTTAAAATCCTCTGACCGTGAGAGTGACCATGAATTTGGTGAGGCCCTATTTATATATTATGTTTTTCTTGTCTGAACTCTACAGCTTCCTCCCAACATTTTTTTAAAGTGTGATTTTACTAAAACTTTGGTTTCAAAGATCTTGAAGCCTTTCTTTGCATATTGCTAGGGATTTCTATCATGTCAACTGTTTACAGTAAAATAGAAAGGAAACACATACATTGTTTATTTTCAGTGTTACAGTTTATATGTCGGTAATTAAAATTAATACTCTTCTTAAGGAACTGTTAGTAATTACTCTCAGGGCCTATTACAGCTGCACAGGTGGACATGTTAAATGGACTGTGTCAAGCACAGTAGTCTGGAAATGCAGTGAACCTCAGAAAATGCCTCTTATTGTTTGCAACTTTATCTAACACCAGTCCTTCTCTACGAATCTCACACTAGTGGATAACTTGTACTGATATTCCCCGTGTCTAAGCTCAGTGGAAGTTTTGCTATTGACTTCAATGGGAATAGCCCTGTAAGATGATCTACCTCATGTAATCCTCCAACAATCAATCTTTCTCTATGGCAATCCATGAAGTATAGAACTTCTTTTTCAATGCACACCAACTTTAGACCTTCTTGCTTAATTTTTTTTAATGACATTTTTTCCTGGGGCATTTCCAGTGTTAACCACACCTCACTTCTGTGCAGGGCCCTTTTCAGAATATCTCTCATTTTTTCAGTCCCTTGTCTTTCTTAGTTCCTCTCTCGTTTTTTTCAGTCCCTTGTCTTTCTTAGTTTTGATAATGAATTGTGCCATATTATTAGCCATCTTCTATTGTAATTGCATGGGCAGTCCCGTAGAATGCTTCTGTTACAAGGGGGTGGCGACTATAAATAAAATCACAGGAACAGTCAGTCACAGTTCATGTACTGCAGGGGTGTAAAATTATACTTACGGTATACATACACAATTACAACACAAGAGACACGCCAAGAACTGCCTTCTTTAGTTATCAGCTTTGAATTTATCTCCCTTTAACGTGGGGCTTTAATGTCAGGTTAACATATTTAGCTGAATTGCAGGCAAGGTCTAAGATCCAAGAACACTTAATTCTGATGTTTTAAGCAGTCTAATAACTGAAGTGTAAATCTAAAACGTCTACTGACAGGAGAACAGGATTGTGTGCATGCTTAGCAAACCATAGGGCTATGTCTACATTCGCATGATCTTGCACAAATACTCTTTAATGCAAGAGTTTTTGCGTTAAAGTATTTGTGCAAGAGAGCGTCTACACTGGCATGTGCTTTTGCGCAAGAGCATCCGTGCCAGTGTAGATGCTCTCTTGCGCAAGAAAGCTCCGATGGCCATTTTAGCCATTGGGCTTTCTTGCACAAGAAATTCATGTTGCCTATCTGGCCAGTTGCGCAAGGACAGTTGAACAAGAGGGCATATTCCTGAGCGGGAGCATCATAGTTCTTGCGCAAGAAGCACTGATTTCACACATTAGAATGTCAGTGTACTTGCGCAAGAACTCCCCGGCAGTGTAAACAAGCAGCATGTTTTTGCGCTAAAGCAGCCGCTTTGGCGCAAGATTGCGCCAATATAGACACAGCCTCCTAGTCCAGAGACAAACCTCTAAAATAAGCTAAATCTATTATACACATTAGTCAAACACTTCACAACACACAGATCCTTCAAACATACACTTGTTGTTCATTTACTCCCAAGATGCCAGCTTATGGCTCTAAGTCATATTGCTGGGTCATAGTTAAAAACACAATGCTTATGGTGACATCATAATGCACAAAACAATCTTATTTCCAAATAATGAAACTCAAGGTTTAGACCCAATCATTTCACTAGTCACTAATTTTCTGTAGAACAGTTGAAGGTAAATAACCACTATATCCCTGAAACGCGTATAGAAATATTTGTCCATATTGGATTAAGTCATTTAATGCAAATTTCCATTGGTATTGATGGGGCTAAAAATCTAGTCTTCCTTCTTGAAGAAGCTCACTGAAATCAATAAGAATTTTTCAATTTACTTTAAAAACCTTTGGATCAGGTGCAAGCCCTAAAACAGCAGTTCTTAGTTTAAAGGTTGGCCCTCATAAAAGTTCTTACTTCTTAGAATCTTATCTACCAGCTTCTGTTGCTCCAGTCATGTATAAATAATGTCTGGCTGAGTGGAAAGGATGTTTTTCCCTTCAGAAACCAGCAGGCTAACCCAATTCAAGGCCAATTTCTTTCTCTCTCACAAAATACATTGTATTACCACATGGCTGATGAGCTATGGTCCTCTTAATGTATCTTACTAATGCTGTTGGAAATTATTCTGTTTCTTTGCCCTCCAGCACCTATTCAGTAGGATCACTTTCCAACCCAGGCAAGTACCACCCCTAGAATATCCCCAAAATACTGATATTTAAGACCAACAAGCACTGACAAATCAGTTCTTTTATTGAGCTTTGTTATTTCATTTCTTCAGATTTATACAAATACTGAAAGGCACCTACACTCTTGAGCAACCCTAACATCACACCACAAATACTTCAACATAACTAAAGAGCATGATCTGGTGAAAAGCTTGGTGTATTAGTTCAAAAGCTTGTCTTTCACCAAGAATCCAACTGGTATAATAATGGCAATAATATAACAGTGTGTCTCTACAAATACTTTGGGTTTTCATTTTGCCTCCAGGACAGGCTTTTTGCACAGCAAATAAGAATTTTCCCCAACAATCAGAACAGTGCAGGTGGGCAAACTTCATCAAAACCATTTCCCCTCTCCTCCCCAACAAAAACGTGGTTTCAGTCAAAGTTTTCCCCGCCTGTAAAAATATGAGCTGTAATCCCCACGTCTGCCCTGCCCTCCAAATGCATCATTGACCATCTACCTGCAGTGCGTTCGTGGCCTTTATAGCTAATACACACATTCCATAGTCTGGGGTGCATATGCTGCTCTCTGGCAACATGCTAGAGAGGCTGGAGGACATCTGCTCCTAGTTTAATGTATGAATCCATGGGGAGATTACGGAGGAGGGAATTGATTCTGCAGCCCTCCCCTCTTTTCATGATAGGGCGGAGTTATCCTCCCACCTCCACTCCTCCCCCTCACCCCCCCAAAGAACCTAAGCCACGCTGTCAGCTCCTTCCAATAAATTCCTTTCTCCATAAGAAGCAGTAGCTCCAGGGAAAGTTTACAGCTATGAACACAAAGGGTTAGGCAAAGCTTTGCTCTCATCCTGATCCCCACCAACACGATAGGAAAGATAATCATTTCCACTAGAACCTCTAGTAGTAGGAAATCACAGAAAGGGATCAGAGGGAGGCCCCTGGTTGAAACCTCTTGCCAGAAGAGGTGCAGTTCCTCTTGCTAAGTCCTGAAACCAGGGAGCGTTTACAGGTTCAGCAAAGACAGACTCTTGCCCTAGATCAAGGGTTGTCAACCTGTGCTCCGCGACCCTGTGCATTTTGTGAGAATGCAGACTATGACTAAGATTTCCAAAGGGTGCCACACCTCCATCTGAAATGTTTTAGGGGCCTGAAAATGCAAACAGGATGAAAACCACTGACCTGATTCCTGCAGTGCAGAGGGTTACTTGTCCCTTTGCCTTATTATTATACACTCCTGGCCTCCAAACTGCCACCCAACCTGCACCCTCCTCTGCCTCTCTACTGTCCCTTAACCTGCACCCCCTGTGCCTCTCTACTGACCCCACCATGCACCCCTACTACCGCTCTACTGCCCCTTAACCTGCACCCCCTGTGCCTCTCTACTGACCCCACCATGCACCCCTACTACCGCTCTACTGCCCCTTAACCTGCACCCCCTGTGCCTCTCTACTGACCCCACCATGCACCCCTACTACCGCTCTACTGCCCCTTAACCTGCACCCCCTGTGCCTCTCTACTGCCCCCCACCATGCACCCCCTGTGCCTCTCTACTGCCCCCACCATGCACCCCCTGTGCCTCTCTACTGCCCCCACCATGCACCCCCTGTGCCTCTCTACTGCCCCCACCATGCACCCCCTGTGCCTCTCTACTGCCCCCACCATGCACCCCCTGTGCCTCTCTACTGCCCCCACCATGCACCCCCTGTGCCTCTCTACTGCCCCCACCATGCACCCCCTGTGCCTCTCTACTGCCCCCACCATGCACCCCCTGTGCCTCTCTACTGCCCCCACCATGCACCCCCTGTGCCTCTCTACTGCCCCCACCATGCACCCCCTGTGCCTCTCTACTGCCCCCACCATGCACCCCCTGTGCCTCTCTACTGCCCCCACCATGCACCCCCTGTGCCTCTCTACTGCCCCCACCATGCACCCCCTGTGCCTCTCTACTGCCCCCACCATGCACCCCCTGTGCCTCTCTACTGCCCCCACCATGCACCCCCTGTGCCTCTCTACTGCCCCCACCATGCACCCCCTGTGCCTCTCTACTGCCCCCACCATGCACCCCCTGTGCCTCTCTACTGCCCCCACCATGCACCCCCTGTGCCTCTCTACTGCCCCCACCATGCACCCCCTGTGCCTCTCTACTGCCCCCACCAGATCGGGACAACCCCCCCGGAAAAAAGCCCCGAGCTGGGAAAACAGCTTTGTGCCAGGCCTGTCCGTCATCACCTGTCCAGCCCCCCGTCTCTGCTGCGCCCCAAGGGCTCCAAAGCACCGGGTGCCTGAGGAGTGAGCGTCCCGCCTTGGCACTGGGGCGTTGTGGTCTGAGACCTGCAGCCTGCCTTGTAGAACAGGCACTTCCCTTCCGCGCGGGTTAAATCCCACGGAAGCTTTGCAGGGTTTGGGCCCCCGGCGTAGCAAGAGCTAGAAGCAGCCAGGATAGGAAGGATCGTACCAACCCAACCATTTCACAGAATCGCTTTGCACCTTTCATCCAAAAGAACAGGACCCGAAACAGAGAGACAGGGATCTCGCCCCCTGCAGGAAGCAGACACGGAGAGCCTGCTCTGACTGCAGCCAAGTCAGCTTCTTCCACCTCCCATGGTCTGGTGTGCAGTGTACTGGCACACACCTTCCTCTGCCACCCCCAATACAAGCCGCAACATTTCTATCGCATCCCAGTGGGCCTTTTCTGAGACCTCGCCGAGCTGCTGGTCTTTCACCACTACCTACTCAGGACCTGGCAACTAGTCCCAGTAACCAGGTCCATGGGAGCCACCAAGGGGGAGGATTTCCTGCACACTCCATCTCAGTGTGCAGGTGGCCCAGTCCCCCTCCAAGTGCCAAAGATTGGACTTGGTTGGTACCACCAGGATCAGAGACCTGGACTATGGCCAGAAGGACTGGGTGGACCCCCTGGGACTGAGCCGGCACCTGGGCACCCCATCCCTCCAGTCCCCGTCACCAGAAGGTGATTGCTGCCTTACCACCCATCTGTCTCACTTTCCTGAGGTAGGTGCTAAGCGAGGGTGCTCCCCACCATCCCTCACCCCTGGCCTACTAGATCCATTGGGCCCCTGCACCATGAATCTCCTCTATACACCATCTGAGCCGATTGCCCAAACCACACCTAGGAAACAGCTATACGTTCCATGGAGGGCCCACGGCTTATGGGCGGGGATATTAGCTAGTAGCTCCTTCCTGGAGCCATGAGTATGGGCACATATCTGACACAATTCACCACTTCCCTCAGCACCTGCCCCTGCTGTGGTGAGAGGAAGACCCTGTTGCACATTTACAATGAATGCACCAATTGCTGCCCTTTCCTGGCTTCTCCTTAAGTTCTGGCTGCACCCTGATCTGTGATCCCATGAAGTCACAAGACCCCCCCTCGTCAGCTTCTTCCTGGCACTGGCCAAGCTAGCTGTCCGCAAAGCTGAACGGGGAAATGCTCTGCAACTGTGGGGCCTACTTCTGTGGGGCCTACTTCTGGCCCTCCCTTAAGTCACATTTCTGGGCAGAGTTCCTCCTTTCAGGAGCAATGGGTTCTCTGTTCTCCATAGTTCTCTGTTCTAGGACTCTCCGCCCCCCAATCCCTGCTTTTGAACTTGTGACTCTTGCTCCCATCCCTGTTTTTTCATTTGTTGTTCCCTGCCAGGGGCAAGAGCTGAAGAGAGGGGGGGAAAAAGCCACATGCTGCCCTCCCCCAAAATCCTTCCCGTACAAACCTCATCTTGGGGGAGTGCTAGAACAAGTTGACACAGGAAGTTATTTTGTACTTAGAACACAGTGGAGTAGCCAGATGAAATCAGCTAGCATTCTGTTTCTAAATAAAACGGCAAGAGGAAATTTAGATAAACAACATGCAATTATCCAAGTTGGAATTTAGCTAAGACATTAAAATGTTCACTGTATTTCATTATCTCACCTCCCCAGAAAGGGCCATCAGTGCAACAGATTACAGTTTAACACCACCACCAGATTCTAGAAGTTAGTGGATCTGAGAGACAAGGTGGGGGAGATAGTAACATCTTTTTTGGACCAGTTTCTTCTGGCGAAGGAGACAAGTTTTCCAGTGGACATGGAGTTTTTCTTCAGTTTAGCATAAGTAGTTAGCAGGTATTGTAAGGAACCACTCAAGGTACAGAGGTTCATTAACACGTCCATAGTCATAGGCCAAAAAGGGGGATTACTATGTTACAGATTATTGTAATAAACCATGAGTTCAGTATCTGTTAAGATTGATTTTTAGCAATGTTATGAATTTAAACTCCCAGGCTTCTTTTGAGAAGGAGGACTGATAGGCCAGCTATAGTAATCACTTTACGAAAGGTGTTCACACACAAGTGATAGCAGGGTTTTGTCCTTTCATATTTTCCTGTATGAATTAAGAATGTTAAATGGCATTTAATCAGATAACCAAGTAGTCGATGGAAATTCCATCAACTACTCGATTAGCCGGTAAGAGGAGAAACTGCAGAGCCACAGCGGGGTAACGGGGGGGAAGCAGCTATTTGGGTAGTGATTCGACTAGTCACTTACATCCCTAGTGTGAATTCAATTCAGAGTGTAGTGTCTGAGATTTGTATCAGGGGCTATAGCTCCTACAAAAATGAATAGAAATTGCAGGTACTGACCCTTCTCAAGATAAAATCTTGAGTACCTGGTGTTCCTTCCAGCTCAGTTGAGTGGGGTAATATTGGCTCTACCCACTTAACATAGAGCCAGCACAGCGCTTACTCCCACCTAGAAGGAAGTAAAGAGCCGGGAAGGAAGAAACACAGTTCTCTCCCTGCGTAGCACAGCCCCTTCCTTGTAAAGAGCTAAATGTAAAGGGTCAGCATAGCTCCAACCTATTTTAGTTAATTCACTATGGGGTGTTTTCAAAAGTTAGTGCATTATTAACCAAACAATACAGTGGCTTTCACAGAAGCCAGGTATGGTTTAAACACTCTTCATATTGCTTGCTTCTTAGTGTCTCATTAACGACATTGAATGCCCTTTTGGAACAAAAGTTACCATTCTGAATAAGACTGTCTCACAAAGTATCCTGCCTTCAGCAGCATCTCATGCTTTCAAGGAAGGCAGTTCCTCTTCAATGCTCCCCCAATCCCATCCACACACAACTCACCTGGCCACTTGTGCGGTGTTGGTACATGGGCATAATTCCCTCCAATACATGCTGGAGATTAGTTTGAAGCATAAGGTGTGTTTATCCATGTATAATAAGGGTCTGACACAGGAGCAGTGGTCAGACTCAACTTCATTTCCTACACCCAACAACATCAATCACTGGGTTACAAAAGGTCAGATTTCTAATGCATGGCAAGAGGCAGCAGCTAGTTACAACTCATAAAATTGTTTTGTTTATTGCTGATTAAAATATCCCATTGCTTTTTTAAAATCCAGCCAGTGAGTTGGACTCAAGACCCAATCCTGCTGTAACAGGACTGTTGGTTACTCCAAGGGTTGAGGTACTAGCATGTGTAAGGCATATTCAGGAAAGGGAGGGAAAAAACAACTATTCTGGCTATGAGGAAGCAATTCAGAGATGTTCCTTTGGCCATAGGTCCCAACCAAGGAAATAAAACAAATGCAGACATCTCCCTTGAGTCTACTCCAGGTGTCCATACTAAATAGTTTGTGTATGGGTACATTTTTTGATAGTACCCTAGTCCCCATTAGTTCAGGCAAGCAGCAAGTTCCCTGAGATACCTAGATCAGGTGTGCTGTTCCATGGGTCAGCTGAGGAACAGCTTTTGTCCCCTTTAGAAATATACCACTCACAAAGCATGTCATTTTTTTCTATTTTTTCTTTACCTAGGAGGCACAGCTGTTAATTCCGCTTTCCAGAAGCCAAAAAAACCATTGTGCCAGCTCTTCCCTCCGAACCTGGGAGCTCAGACAATCTTTGAAAACCAGCCACCTCTGTGTGCCCTCTGAAAGGCTTTAAACCCTTCATTAGTCACAAAGGAACAAACTACATTTCTTAAGACAGTCAAAGCTCCTGAAAATTGCCAGCATAGCAGGAGCACTATTTGACTCCAAGGGGGTGGGCAGGCACCAGCCTGCCCACTGCTAAAGGCCCCTCCCCCAGCCTTGTAGGAGGGACCACTGGACCCAGTAATCAACTGAGTATGGGGGACAAAAAATGAAAAACAGGGGTGCAGGTCAAAGGTTTAAAACAAGGATCCAAGGATCCAAGAACCCAAGACAGACAGGAGAGTAACAGGAGCAGGACTGGTCTCTCAATGACCTCCTACACCAGTGTAATCCACACTCTGATTAAATGCTGGATGTCCTTGCATTTATCCTTCACTAGTGGACCCAGCAGTTACCATATCATTGTAACAGGATATGGGACTGTTCATTTTCCACTATGCCCAACCTAATCTGAATACCTCAGTCAAGTCCCTTCTTGTTTTTCTCTATAGCAGGCTAAATGATTCCAGGCTGTGCCTTCCCTCTAAGCATTTTAGTTGCCTGTCTCCAACTGTTTTCAGTCTCTGACAGATCTTCCTTGTGGTAGGGGGCATTTAATTGATTCAGTTATGTCTTTACCAAATGTTTTCTATTATTTAATCAAACATCTATTTTAAATGCTTCTGCATACTGAGGGGACACTAGCACTGAGTTTTGCTTTCATGCCTCCTAATCAGTGGAGGAATAACTTTGCAGTTTAGGCTTGTGTTTGAAATTCTACAAGCCAGGGGCAACTTCTGGTAAGGTGAAATTCTACAAGGAGCTTGCACTTTCTGTTAAGGGAATCTTGGCATGCATTTAGCTGCAGGAGGAGGAGTGCTCCCAGCTCACTTCCTGGGGCTTTCTTCAGGTTGCTGTGCTAGAAGCAGAAGCCTGGCAGGTTAGAGGAGTTGGCTGGGGGAGGGCACTGAGACTTAGAGGGTAAGAGGGGTTGCAGCTGCACTTAACTCCAGTCACTGAGTGTTTCTCCCTTTTGGCTTTCTAGGTAGGGAGGTACAGTTCACAGCCTGCTCTAGCTCCTGGTTGCCTAGGGGAGGGCAGAGAAGGAAGGCTCACAGGCTGTGCACTTTGCCTCATCGCTAGGTGTGACGGCGCGTTGGGGGGTCCCCCGTCTCCTGCACCCCGAAATGGCACAAACAGACTGCACCAGCTGGTGGAATAGAGGAAGTTTATTGCCTCTCCAGGATACAGCACAGATGGAATCTGGTCACAGAGCTGGGCTAGGATGCCTCAGGCCCCCTTGAGTTGGGGGGAGACTGGGCCCCTAAACTCCAGCCCCTTTCCCTAGGCTGTCTCCTCCATGCTTCCAGCCAGCCAGCAACTAACTTCCAGCCCTGCCCCCCAGCCAGGGCAGCCTCCACCTTCCTTTGTTCCTCTCCATGGGGGGGTGTCTGGCCACTGGTTTGCATAGTGACTCATCCTGTTTTGCTGGGTCCTGGTACCCACGGCAGCCAGTGGGGGTTACCCCAGAGCCAGCAGCATAGAAACCAGCCAGGTACCCCCACTACGTCACACTAGGCAACAAAAAAATAAAAAACCCACCCAACGCCAGGGGTAAGTGCTGCTGCAGTCCTCCACCCCTGACATGACATCCTGCCCCCGTTTGCATAGTGACTCATCCTGTTTTGCTGGGTCCTGGTACCCACGGCAGCCAGTGGGGGTTACCCCAGAGCCAGCAGCATAGAAACCAGCCAGGTACCCCCACTACGTCACACTAGGCAACAAAAAAATAAAAAACCCACCCAACGCCAGGGGTAAGTGCTGCTGCAGTCCTCCACCCCTGACATGACATCCTGCCCCCCCATGCTCATCCA